TCTCTTGGACAAATCACCATTAGGGCGCCAAGATAGGTTCATCAAGAGCAGGGAGGAACAAGGGAAAACAGGAGGTTTTCCCCGTGGACCGACCCATGACGAGATCCTATTCCCGGGCCAAAAACAACTGCGCCCTACGTAGCATCAACTAGGTCAACTAATCAACTAATGACTAGGCCAATTAGTCAACCACAAAGTTATTTTAAAGCTTTATTCGTTTGTGCTTATCTGTAATTATTAAAATGACATAGGAAATGCTTTTAATTTTTTATATGCATGCTTTGCTGATCAAAAAAAAATTATATCCATGCTGTTACTTCAAGTGTTTGTGATGGAACATGGTTGACTTTTTCTTCCGATCAGTGTTGTGCTGGGATGCAGTTGCCACAAACAAGAAATACATGAAATAGAGTTTGCACTCTTTCTTTGAAAAAAGAAAAAAGGTTGTAACACCCTATCCTAGTCTCCACATTCCAAATTAATTTTTCTTATCTTCAAAAAACAAAGATTTCAAACAAATTGTTTAGTATCATTCTTTTATTGCATATTTGCAACCTATATCAATTTATTTATGGGTTAGCATCAACATCTTAAATTTAGACCATATCCTTTTTTTCTTGTCAACTTAGGCAAACTAGTCATTATATCACCAGGAGAGGCCAAAACAACTAGTCATCGCTTCACCACATTAATAACACTGCTAGATCCAAAAGAGGAAAGGCATAGAGTGTAAAACATATATGCCTTCAAGCAGAGGTGAAGAAGCACACTGAAGATAAATATGGTTTGAATTCGTTAGCTTTCAAGCCTTTCTTTTATCAGGGAAGAATATACAAGAGTATTTAGTGAGGGTATTCTAATTTATCTAAAAAGTTAGTTTTTCTTTTTATTGTAACAGAGGGTTCAAATATCATCATCACCTAAGCATTGTCCCAACAAAATATGGGTGGTCAGCTACATGAATCCTGTTTTGCTATTCCGTTAGATTCAGTACCAGGGTCTAAATATAATAAAAATAATAACAGTAATAGGTAGTTATTTAAGAATTCTATGTATTGAGTTTGGAAATACCATCCCCTGGATTACTTCATTCATTCCTCCTCATCTATACTCCAAAATCCTAGAGGTCTAAAAATTCAATTCCATAACATATTTTAGGATAAAGCTAGATGTTCTTCCAAACTATAAGGAGCAATCAAAATTCAACTCCATAACATATTTTTGAATTGTAGTAAGGATTTCCATACCAAGCCTGTCAATTGCAAACTGAACTTCATCCACTGAGAAATTCATCATTAATAAAGATGCCTTCTTGTCCTCACTAACCTCAGTAGTAACATCAAGTTCCTGCTAGAGATGTGCAAGGCCATGTTAAGAACACATGCAGCATGGGATATAAAATCGTGTATGGGTGACAAAACTAGGTAATTATTTACACTATGGAAACAACATTATAACAGCATTGGAAGCACTAAAACATGATCTATACTTGTAAATATTAAATTACTTTCTAAGTGCACTTCAGTTAGCCACAAATAATTCTCGTGATGTCTGACCAACAGAAGTAATTCTTTAGATCATCTAAGCAACAATTATTATTCTATTCTAGTTTGGATTGCATAGAACTATTCAAATAAAGAAGCAGTATTACACAAATAAGACTTATTACATTACCTCAATTTCACAACTCTCTGAAGTGATTCCAGGTGAATTGACCTCATCCGTGCAATGATTAAGCATGGCATCCAGAGAGTCTGATGATGCAGAACTTGATTTTTTATGAGTCTGCTTCATTTGGCATGTAAAACTATTAGCTTTTCAAGAAAAAGATAACAATATCCAAGACGTTTGTACAGCAATCATGGCTATCATGTCAGGATCATAAAGTTATAGCACAAATTAAACACTCCTATTCCAAAATTAAAAGACACCAATTAATGTAGTACTCAATTGGTGTATCTGGTTGAAAAAAATGGAGAGTTATATGATATATTCTTCCTGTATACATTAGCTTCCTTTAAATATCAAAAGAACAATCTAGTAAAAGAAAATTCTGAATTTTAATTTGAACCTAATTGCAATTTTAAATCCTAATATTTGCAAAAAAAGAAAAATATCTGTCTTTTTTTTTAAATTAGATCTCTCTTAATTTCTTAAATGGATTGCCAAAGAACTTTTTTTAGTGAAAACAAATAGCTCCACTAGACAAGTAGACAGAACAGGAATCCAAAATATTAAACTTAGGTTTTAATTTTTAGGATGATATCTATACCAAGTTAAAATAATGAGATACTTGAAAATATAATAGCGAGTGTACGTGACATAGAGAGAGAAAGACATATCTATATATCAAAGTTATGCACAAAGACATATACAATCATAACAATAATAATACCCAATCCCCACGGGCACTTCAAGGCCAGACCACAATAATAACAACAATGATGTATTTGCACAAAAAAAGGCCAAGTACCATGTGCTCCCCATTCCACAAATAACTTAACTTGTAAAGGGGGAAAAAAGTATATCTAAGTTCTGACAGTTTAAAGAAATATTTGCTTTAACAAACGAAAGAGAAAAAGAAGTAAAATTAATATTTTCTAACAGTTAAAAGAAATATTCCAGTACAAAAAGTTAATTTGATAATGTTTTATTTTAAGTGAAGATACTTTTAGAAAAAGGTATATGCCTCTTTGTATCCACTTATTGTTTGGAAGTGTAACTAAAAGGATTGATGGCACACAACCAATAACCTCCATTTTCTCGTCATTACCAAAAAAAAACTCCATTTAACAAAATGAAAGTAGCATTCGTTTCTAGTTCTCTAATGCATACATTTGACTGTCTATATCCCTGACAGTTAATGAAATGTCATAATATAAAATATTACATCAATTTACCATATTATAAGAATGTGAAGAGGTTTAGGACCTTGTAGTTTACCAAATGTCTCTAACCTAAATATGCAGCACTCCCTTTCTAGTTCTCTAAAATGAAAGTAGCATTCCCTTCCTAGTTCTCTATCCCTGACGGTTAATTAAATGTCATAATATAAAATATTACAACAATTTACCATATTATAAGAATGTGAAGAGGTTTAGGACCTTGTAGTTTACCAAATGTCTCTAACCTAAATATGCAGCATTCCCCCCATAATAAAAGGGAGCATCTTGGTCTGGAGACACAAGACCCATAGATAGGCCTGGGGGCCTAAAATCTATTCCTATCTTACATATTTCAACCACTGAGATCCACCATTACAATATTAGATGGATCCAAGCTAAAAATGGTTTGTGCATCAACATGATCAAATGAATTTTATCTGATTAGGGCATTATTTGTTCAGCTTTTTAAGAGAAACATTTTTATTGATAATATAACTTGGAATGTTGTTAATCCAGAAGATACAAATTGTAGTACAAACCTAAATTCCAAGTTTCCTTGGAAACACAGGTCGAAAGACATTGCAAAGAGCTATGGCTGTCAAAACCAGCATAATAGATTACACTCAATTACATGCTTCTTCTCAGCCCTGATGGCACCATTCCAGTTCATTCCTGTTAACATCTTCCCTTGCCAAAAATATCAGCCAAAGCATTTTCTAATCTGGGTATCCACCTGAATGAGCAAGTCAAGTAAGAGGCCAATGTATTCACCACCCTTATCATAAAGCTTAGAGGCCATGGTCCTACAGTTCCTGAAAGGGCCATGTTATGGCTAATTTGAACTAGTTTTAAACCTTGAAGAAGTGCAAGAAGCTCAGCCCTTAAGAAATTCCCTAACCCAGCTGGGCCCAAAAAAGTTAACACTTTTTCCTGCATGATCTCTAAAAACACACCCCCCCCCCAACCAGACTGCCCCAGGTTGCCTAGGGAACTTCCATAAAGTATAACTCCGCACTTCGGGCGGCTCCCAAGGCTGAATAAGAACCTGTCTTTGATGAGTAAAAACAGTCACATAGAGCAACCTCTCAAGTTAGAGTCCATCATGATTCCTTTGAACTTTTTTTAATCATCACCCAGTGAACCATTTTTACCAAAAGGTCAACAATGGAATCTTGGTCTTGGCTTTTATTTTCAAAAATCTTGGAGTTACATTCATACTACACACCCCAAAGTACAGCCACCCTTGTTCAGTGTTAAGGCATCTTTCCCCGATTGGTTTGAATGGGCAATAATTGGGTTGATTGACATATAGATAAGCTCAATACTTCCCATTAGGACAAGTACAGACCCAAATCATATCAATAAACAGAACAGAACTATAGATAAGCTCAATACAAAGAAGCCCGAGAAGCCCCTTGTTTAGCCAGAGAGTCTGCCAAAGCATTTGCTGATCTGTTAATGCACTGGAAGTTGATTGACATATTCCTTGTGATCTTTTTAAATTTTTCAGGAGATCTCTGTAGTCCCAAAAACCATTGTTCGGATTCAGCAGCCAACCCACTACCACCTTGGAGTCTCCTTCTACTAGTAAGTTTTCCACAACAAGTTGGTTAACAAACTGTAGGCCTTGTACAGCTGCTAGTATTTCAGCCCTTGTTGAGTCTCCAACTCCCACTGGACCTGAGAATAAAGAGATAAAGTTGTTGTCCTTGTCCCTCAAAACCTCTTCTAATACATTATTCATAGTTATCAAGACAATGACTAAGCAACAAGGTGCCCATGGAGGGTAGCCTCACTTGATAGCCAAGGTATTTTATACATAATGCTATTAATATCCATTTATAATCATAATTTTTTGAGATTATAATAATGAAAAGCTATTAAACTAAATTATTTAGTTTGAGAATTAAAATACTAGTTTCCATTTATTATTTTCTTATTTGTAAGGGCTCAATCAACATGTATGCTCTCTTACCCTTGAAGACTTCAAAAGCTGAACTGATAAGCAAGGAATAGATCAAAATTTTGTCCAATAAATGCATACTGGTTATTTTTTTCTTCTTTTCCTAGGAAAAAATAGGGGCTCATCCCCTGTATTTTCTGAAATTTCTTTTCTTCCATTTTTTCATGAATATGTTGATTTTCTCTGTTTTAAATGAAGTTTATATTTTTATGAAGATTATAGACAACTACTAGTGAAAGATGGTTGCTACTTGCTATGGAACCTAGGGAGTTACCCTAGGATTCATGGCTTTTATTCCAAAAAAAAAAAAAAAAATCCATTGCCTACCTGACACCTAGGCGCCCACCTAGGCAACTAGGCAACAAGAAGCCCCCTGTTGCTTAGCCTTGCCTTGGCGCTTTGAAAACTATGACATGGTTGTAATCTTCTAGGAGCGTTATTTTTTGCCTATCTGCTTAGTTGATATACCAAGTGGGACCCATAAAATAGTTGTTTCTGATGTGTAAAACATGAAAAACCCAGGAAGCTATAAAGGCCCCAAACCCATGTATAGATCTAGTGCCCTCATACCCAAGATTTAGCCATAGAATATCTTAACTGTTTGATACAGATATTGACTTGTTAAAATAGCACAATAGACAGACCAAACAATAGGAGTTCAACTGATGAAAAGATGCAAACCAATTGATTTCCATTTTTCTTTTTCTTTTTGTTTGTTTGCCGATGTGCATACTGCATTGTATATGCTACCAATTCCTATCTTCTTATTTTGATAAGCAACAGATAATTTTATGAAGTGCTGAATCCCAGGTCTGGAACTCTCAACTCAACACCCCGACTTTCTAATACCTCTATAGCAAGCAAAGCAGACAGAATTGGCTGATCCAGGAATCCATCTGAACAAGTTGTTCAGAAGACTAACCAAGGATCTCACCTCCTGAAGAAAAGATCTGAGAGTCCAAGGACCCTCTAAAGTGTTAGACATCCATTGCTTTACAATCTGACAGTCCCCTTCTATCACCAAATTGTTCCAACCTGTTGACAAAGCCAATAAGGCAATAAGCCAATTAAAGCGCTTGGCACAGTGCAAACAGCTTAGTTCTTTGGGAAGTTCCTTCTCCATCTGTCCCTGAGAAGCTGATTACAACATTGCATTCATGACCTTCGAATACTCCTATACCTGAAGGCCCTGGATTACCCAAAGAACAACTATCACAATTCAGCTTTATTCTCCCAAAGTTCAGGGAGACCTAACCCACAAAAATATTCTGCCTTGGTTGATATACGCTATATGTCCTACTTAACAAGGTTAACTCAATTTGTGTAATTTGACTAACACATAGAACCTGTAGAGGTATGGATTTAAAACTATCAACCAAATCAGAAAAATTATACCTACTTCATAAAAATATTGTTATTAACTGAAGGTGTGAACATTGTTATAAAAATGACATCTTAGTAAGTTCCTCAGTAGGAAACAGTCTTATAGAACAATTTATCCTTACATTTTCAAACTATGCAAACATAAGAAACAGGATTAAGGAAATGATCAAGTAAGAGAAACAAAAAGTATGCCACAGAAGAATGTTAACTTACTGTATTTGCAAGGAGAGTTTCCAATAACAAATCAACATCACCTTGACCTGCATTTTGCAGAAAATATTGCCACCATCATTAACCAAGTACAAGCCATGGGCTCATCAATTACACAATCAAGCATAAAAAATGACAGCTGCAAGTTGGACCAGGCTATACAATACACAACTTACCCAAACTTAATTGGAATTTCTGTTCACGTATTGAACTTTGGTTGAAGCATAAACTATACGCAGCTCACCCACTCTAGGCCATTTGATAAATGATAACAGCTGAAGTGGCTGATCTGAATGATTTATTGATTTGTCTTTTAGTGGATGAAATAATTAAATAAATAACTACTTGAGGGTATAGTAATCAATCAACATTCAGCTTCAGCCATTAAAGAGCTCACAACCTCCTCAATAATTTATTCACTAAAAGATAAGGCAATAAGTCATTGAATTCAGCCACTTCAGTAATTATCAAATAGCCTCTCTGTGTATATGTCTACATGTAAGAAGATAGTGTCATAATTGCTTGCCCTAATGGTTACAAGATCAGAATCTGAGTCACCCAATGATCTTTTTGTGTCTGATGTTGAAAAGCTTGAAACAATGCAGACCAGATCAATATGACCTAATCTAGATATAGATTGTGCATGCCAGATCATGGGTTTGACATTCATTCTCAGGAATCAAAATTAGGCTTAGTTTCTCTCACAACCCACCAAAAATTGCAAACCCATGTCATATACATACTATATGAGACATTCGGAAAACATGATTAAAAAATTTAAATGCTAGCAACTCCCTTTGTACCATGTTCCTCTATCACGTTGTCAATGAGAGTTGGTGAGAATCCCATCCCTATGAAATATGCTCTTAAATTGCTCCCAGATGAACTTGGTTGACCTTCCTAGTTCCAAATGGAAGTAAACAAAATAAGTAACTATCAAGAGCTTTGCATCTAAGCTAATAATAATATTCAAATACATTCATAAAAACAATAATAATAATATTCAAATACATTAGTCTTACTAACCAAAGCTAACTGATGAGAAAGATATCTATGGAATGAAAACATGCAGTCCTCAGTTCATTCCCCAACTTATAAAAAGAAAAAAAGAAAAAACTTGTAACAAAGAGTTTGTAATGCATCAAAAAATAATGCAGATGATAACCAGTCAATTGATAGTTTGATTCAGGAACTTGCTTGGAGGAATAAGTATTTGTGATAAATTAAGAAATACAATTGGGTTATACTAAAGAGGGATGAGATGGAGATCAACATTTCATACTGAAATTTCTTATAAACTGGAGTCTCCTTGGTAGGAGCCATTGCACTCATACTGACGAGTCAGGTCTAAGATGCAGGTTCGAGTTTGAGAGCAGCCACTTGGTGGAAGAAAATGCCAAAAGTTAGGTTCATATCCAGTACACCCCTCTCCATATCCCAGATAGCAGGGACTAACATTGGATAATTGCCTTTCTTTGGAATCTTCTTGGTGAACAGGATATTCTTGATCTGGTTCAAAATTATAGGAGTATCTGCTTTGGACAGACATCAGATTCCAACCCTCGATAAGTTATTGAGGGAAATCTATGGATTTTGCTTTCTCTGTTGCTCTTGCTTCTTTTTTTTTTGATCAATAACACTTTCATTAATTCATCAGTAGAAAATTTACAAGTGGAAGAGAAACACACTTATCTTCCAAGAGTCACAAAGAACTTCAAGAAATGAAAAAAGAAAAAACAAAGATACAAATGTTAAGAGTTGCTCTTGCTTCTTTCACTATTTCACATAAATGATCATCTAGTGTATGGTGACAATTCCAGCTCTTTTTCTAACAAAATTAATTACCACTTTTCAAAAAAAAAATATTTACATTCACCAACGTGTATAGGCATAAATGTTAAGAGTTTGCAAGATATCCCAATACCATGAAACCATTATTTGTTAGATGACAAAGTCAACACTCCCTAATACTCGTTGGAGTATGATTCCTAGTCCATATCCATGGAAAACTGGTTAGTGGAGCCATAATAACCACCAAGCAACAAGATATTTTAATACACAGAAAATGAAATAAAAGGATTAGAAAATTTTAAGAACATTTGAGAAGTTGTCAATTGTCTCTTTTCTTCTAATTCTAATCCCAGAAATTACAAAGCAAAGAAGATCATTGCTGCTATACTGTGGAGTTTGATAATTGTTTAAGAAATGGGACCCAAAGCATGGTAGGAGAGAAGCTGCTAAAGCAGATATTTTGACGCTTCTTTGTATTTTGATGTTGATGGTGTTAGTTAATTATGTTACTTTTTTCCTTTTTTAGTTTTCTAGCCACCTTTCCACAACGTTGAAAATGGACAGGTATTACCTGAACATGCTTTGAGCATGCACTGCCAGATGACAAGTCCAAACTCAATGTGACAACCTTTGACGTAGTTCCTGCCCCTTCCTGATTTGAAGATTTTTCATTATTTGCATCATCTACTGATTTGTCCTACAGAAATATTAGTAAAGCACAATGTAAGGAGACGTCATATTTGTTGCACAAAATGACTTATTAGAGTATAAAACATATCATTCGAGAAAACATCCACAATGAAACCAATGAAAAAAGAAATCCTTTCCAAATTACCATGAACTAATTCCACCGATCCTTATCAAGCATCTGCAAGAAGAATATAAGCAAATTAGCCTACCAATGCAACAGAAACCAAAACAAAAACATTCTGTATATGGTTTCAATACTTTTTAACACTCAATTATGACTAAATACTTGGAAACCTATCTAGATCAAATCAATTTGAACTTTTACATTTTCTGGGATAATTCATATGAACCCAAAACAGCATTCCCAAGCTCCTTCCAAATTTTACAAGGTTTTGGTGTGGAAAGGATTCGGAAAATGATCGGACGTTTCACTTTTTCCTTTTGTGTGTGTGTGTGTGAAGAAGCAAGAATCAACGGATGTGACAGTACGAAAGATTGCTCTGTGGTTTATGTAGTTCATTAACATGTTGGGTTTGACAGAAAACAAGGAGTGAGAATCAGGAAGTTGAAGGAAAGTTCTTAAGGAATAAGAGAAATAGAAAGGGAACCAATTCTCTCAACTTTCTGCTTCTCTTATTTACTGTCAAACCAAAGGCAGCGTAAAGGAACCAATTTGTAAGGAAGAAAGGCATATCATAAACCATGGAAAATATTCTTAAAATCGCAAAAGAAATTAATAATGCCCACCAGATATTAATAAGTTTTTTTCTTTTTCTCGAGTATAGGAAAAAAAGACGATATAACGAACAAGAGAGACAGAGAGAGAGAGAACCTGAAAATGGAATTTTCTCCTCTTGGTCCTCGATAAGGTCAGAGGACGATTGAGCTCACTCTCTCACATCCAAGCACGGCCAACGAACGGCGTGTTAGGTAATTGGTGATGAATTTTACAGTAATGCTCACAGTAGTAAGACGAAAATTACAAGAATATCCCAATCCAAATGAAATCAGGTTGGATTAAGGTTGAATGCCTAAGCGAATGAGCGAGCTCTCGCATGCGTCAAACGAACCAAACTCAGCCAGGTTGCGTTAGGGTTAGATGCCTTGCCGACCCACTCGATCACGAGTTCGTCGTAAGGCGTTTGTTTTATAGATGGCAGGCTTTGTGCCAGTGGGTTTTGTGTGTACCCTGTTAATAATAAATCTGAAAGAATTAATAATTTTATATATCAAAATTGTTCTATGTATCTTCTCTTTTCGTATAAATTATTTATCTATTTTTTTCATTTTTTACATTTTTTTATTTTTTTTTATTTTAAAAATATAAAATAGTAATCATTGTTTATCTTGATTAGATCAATAAAGATGTACACTATTAAAGAGAACTTTGAGTTTTCCAAAACCATTTACTTTAATGCATGTTATTATTATATTTAAAAAAGATATTTAAAAGAGAGACCTTTGAGTTTTCCAATACCTCTTATTTTAATGCATGTTATTAGTACATTTAAAAAAGAGATAGAGAAAGGGTGAGAGATAATAATAATAATAATATAAATCAAGGTTTTTAAAACCAAACCAAACAATGAACCGGTCAAAGGTCCGTTCTCAGGTCGAACAGTTTGACCATTCGAACCGAACGGATAAAAATTGACCAAAACCATTGGACGATTCAAACAATTTGACTACCTGGGTCAGTGGCTTGTTGACCAAATCAACGGTTTTAGCAAAATAACGATTCTAGGGTAAAACAAAACCGGTTCCCGGTTTTTCTAGCCCAATCCAATTTTGAAAACCATGATATAAATCAAATAATATAAATAGATTGAGGTTAAACAATCAAAAAATTATTAATTCAAAAATCCACTAAACAATTACTAAAAATAAATATTAACAAAACTTAGTAAACATTAAAAATGTGCTTCGATTCCACTTAAAAATCCAACTTAATAAACACAAATAAAAATAAGAAATTTAAATATAAAAATATCAATTGATAGTTTTATAATATTATTAGATAACTTATAAATTAAGACCTTAATAAACGCTAATAAAAAAATATTAATTGATAATTTTAAAATACCAACAACTAATTAAAAAAACTAGAAATTCTGAAAACCCTAAACATAATTAAAATACTAAAAATAAAAAAATATATTGAAAATTAACAATATTTTATATTGATAAGGGTATTTACTATAAATAATTAAAAAGTACAATTATAGTATTTTATTATTAAAAATACCAAAATTTATTAGAAAATACCCAAGCCATAAATTATTGAAAAATATTGAAAACTAGTTGTGTTTTTTATTAACTATGGTATTTATTTAGTTATTTAAATGATTAAAATACTGAAAATTATTGAAAATTATTGAAAATTACCCATATGCAAAAATTATTGAATAATAATGAAAAAACACCAAAACATTATTAAAAATCCAAAAATTCTAAAAAACCTAAAGCTTAATTAAAATACTAAAAATAATTAAAAAATTAAATTAATTGTATTTTATTGCAAAAAAATACTGAATGATAATGAAAAAATAATGTATTTTAATTATTAATATTAATGTAATTAACATTAATCAATTTTACTATAATTAACAGTAACTATAATTTAAGCTATAAATAGTAGAAATTACATTTAATTACCAAGAAGTTATATTTAATTACTAGAAAAATACATTTAATTAGTTTTAGCCTAGAAATTAGCAATATTTCTGAAAATATGATAATTTACAAAAATTACTGTATTTTAAATAAATATAGTAATTTAATAATTACAATATTTTTAATAATTAATAATAAAAAGTAACAAATCATTTATAACTTATCCTAACACGATTATATCTATAAATTTGCAAACTCAAACAACTATTTTCTTTTGAATTAGGTTTAGTTGAGATATGCACCATATCCACACATTATCTAGGATAATCTAATATGAAGTCTAATTAGGTATCAAAATTTTGGACTCCAATGATGTCTTTAGTTGATAGGGCCCAAGCTAAACAACCCCTAATAAGCTTAACTTGGAAGTTATATGCATATATGGTAAATATTATTATATAATATTTAAATAGCAATTTTTATATTAATATATATAGAAGTGTTATATATTTTTTTATACTATACTAAAATTAAAGAAAAATTTAAATTTGTAAAAAATCGTAGTTTTATAATTAACACGGGCCTCTTTATCAACAGAAAATGTGCAAGCCCAAGCCCGAGCCCGGCCCAACCATCAAGCCTAGATTTTGAGCCTGAGCCCAACCCTTATATAAAGCCTAAAGCTCGATCTCGAGCCTGAAGCCCAATCTGTACACAAAATGTCTTATTTTCAGTAAACTTTTTATAAACTATTATTATATTAATTTAGTAATAATTTAATAAAATAATAAAGTAATTTATATTTTATAATAGTAAAATGATATTTATTAATAATTTAGGTATATATATATAACATACATAAGTACTTTTTTATATATGTAATAGTATCGGGCCAGGCTTATTTGAGAAAGCCCGAGGTTGAGTCCACGAGTCTAAAATTTTGTCCAAGCCTGAAAAATAACAGGTCAGTTTGGGTCGGGTCGGGCTGTCGGGGTACCTGGCCCATGAATAGGTCTAATTGTATATATAAACAATTGTATACATTAAAAATCATATGAAATAAAAATTTAAACATCTTTTTCATTTTTTTTTAAATGGACCTCTCATAGCTTGGCCCGATCCACGGCCTGGCCTGGCCCAAGGCTCAGCCTAGTACGACCCGATTTACACATCTACTTGAACCTGCCAAATACTGACGACGAGGTGGGAAAATTCGAGGATTCTCCATCCTCGATGAGGAGTCAAGTGCCTTGCCCCTGAACTCGCTTGACATTAAGACGTGGTTGCCTTGCCTTGAACCCACCTGACACTAGAGATGGGGCGAGGATGGGGTGGAGTGTCTTGACTATGGGGCTAGGGATAGGGATGGGGTGCCCCGCCCTAAACCCACCCTAATGTCATTCCTATATAATTGTTAATTATTAGTGAAATTAATAAAAATGCTAGATTTTGTAATTATTTTTTATTATTTAAAGTAAATCAAAATTTCATTTTAAAATAATAACAATTATTAAAATTACTATAAATTTATTAAGAAATATTTGTTCATATTACATTAACAATAATTATTTTTTGCAAATCAACATTAAATGAAAATACAATTATTAAATTTTTAGATATTAACAATAACTTTAAATATTTTAGTTAATTAACAACAAATTTTGATTATTAATTTAATATTAATTAATGGTAAATAAAATTCTTAAATCTTTCAGATTTTCCCGTGCACCGCACGAGTCCCCGCTAGTATTAAATTAATAATCAAAATTTGTTGTTAATTAACTAAAAGTATTCAAAGTTATTCTTAACATCTAAAATTTTAATAATTGTGTTTTCCATTTAATATTGATTTACAGAAAATAATTATGGTTAAGTTAATATGAACAAATACTTTTTAATAAATTTAGTTTTATTAATAATTTGTAGTAATTTTAATAATTCTTATTATTTTTAAATGAAATTTTGATTAACTTTAAATAGATAAAAATAATTACAAAAGCCAACATTTTTATTAATTTCACTAGTAATTAACAATTATATAGGAATGACAACGGGGTGGGTTCAGGGCGGGGCACCCCGTCCCTGCCCCATAGTCAAGACAATCTACCCCATCCCCTAGTGTCAGGTGGGTTTAGGGCAAGGCAACCACTCCTCAATGTCAGGCGAGTTCAGGAGCAAAGCACCCCACTCCTCATTAAGGATGAGGAATCCTCGACCCCAGTATTGGGCAGGTTCAAAGAGAGGTGTAAATTGGGTCGTGTTGGGCTAGCACGGCACGACTCATACGCAGCCTACACAAAGTGCAAGTCGTGCCGTGCTAGCCCACAAGACGTCCCGAGTCATGCCTCCCTCCCTTGAGATAATTTAAGGGTTGGTTCAGCGTGGCCCACAACTCAAGCCTGCACGGGCCAGCGTCGTGCCGTGGGTCGGGTTGGTCCATGGGTTGAGCCTTGGGCCAGGCTAATCCACGGACCGAGCCAAGCTATTAGAGGTCCATTTAAAAAAAAATTGAAAAAGATGTTTAAATCTTTATTTCATATGATTTTTGATTTATACAATTAGACATATTCATGAGCCAGGTAGCCCGATGACCCGACCTGGCCTGACCCATTATTTTTCAGGCTTGGACAAAATTTAAGACCTGTGGGCTCGAGCTCGAGCTTTCTCAAATAAGCCTGGTCCGATATTATTACATATATAAAAAGAGTACTTATGTTATATAATATATATGTATGTGTGTGTATATATATATATATATATATATATATATATGTGTGTGTGTGTGTGTGTGTGTGTGTGCTTCTTAAATTATTAATAAACATCAATTTACTATTAGGAAATATTAATTAGTTTATTAATTTATTAAATTATTACTAAATTAATATAATATTAATTTATAAAAGTATATTGAAAATAAGACATTTTGTGTACAAAACGGGCTTGAGCTTCGGGCTTTATATAAGGGTTGGGCTCAAGCTCAAGATCTAGGCCCGATGATCAGGTTGGGCTTAGGCTCAGGCTTGCACATTTTTTGTTGATAAAGATGCATGTGTTAATTATAAAACTATGATTTTTTACTAATTAAATTGTTTATTTAATTCTAATCTAGTATAGAAAAATTATTTAATTCTATATATATTAATATAAAATTTATTATTTAAATATTATATAATAATATTTATCATATATGCATATAACTTCCAAGTTGAGCTTATTAAAGGTTGTTTAGCTTAGGCCCTATATGATAATGCCATCATTGTACTCCAAAAGTTTGATACCCAATTCGACTTCTAATCTTATCATCCTTGATAATGTGTGGACATGGTGCATATCTCAGCTAGACATAGCTCAAAAGAAAATAGTTGCTTGAGCATGCAAAATTTATAAATATAATCGGGTTAAGTTAAGTTATAAACAGTTTGTTACTTTTTATTATTAATTATTAAAATATTGTAATTTTCTACAATCTATAGATTAAATTATATTTACAGTAAATTACAGTTTAAAAATAATT